AGAAAACACCTCAGCTCGGCCGTGTTTGGCTTGGCAGCGCTGAAAGTGAGTGTGCAAACAATTTGGAAGGTCATGTTTGTTTTTTGTGAATTCGTGTTGCAAGATAAACATAAAGGCAGAGTTCACTTTTCAAAAGTCTATCCAATTATCTCGTGCCGTTTTCTGACATTGCTGCTCCAACAAATACCCCATTTATCAGGAGTCACGGTGGTGTCTTACTCCAAACACCAAGGTGATTAAAGTGAGGGCGTCTGCAATGCTGAACCCACAGAGCGTTGGGGACGTGAAGCCGGTAATTATCAGCGTTATTAGGAATGTTAAAGTAAAGAGGGGTTTGGGGTTTTCTTCCAGGGATATTTGGAAACACCTTACTGCGTGATTTCTTGAACCACCATGACATCTACTCACAGAATGCATCTCTACTTTTAAACATCTTTTAGAAACATAAGACTTTTCTTTAACTTAAAAGGCAGCCAGTACGATCTGCAGCAGCAGAGAATCGCAAAACTGTCCTTGGGTCAAATGAGTCAAACTCTCAAAGAGAAACCAAAAAATAGAAATGTTTGGTAAAGTTGCAGCATTTATTGTGACTCCAAAATATAGTTATCATTGCAACAAAGCTTGTAGTTAATCAGATTTTAAAAAGTATTTTTCCTCATGTCACTGAGCAAAAAAATTCCACCAGCTCTGTTCAGAATGTCTTGCGTGGAGATATATCAGATGAGGAGGGGGGCACAGCTCAGTGTTTAGTAACATGATAATAATAATAAGCAGTTCTGGTAGAGCTAGCTTGGCTAACCATTGGTCGGGTGACCTCCCACCTTGCAGGAGCCGGTCCCTCGAAAGTTTCCTGGTATTGCTCTGTTTCTCGGCTTGTATGTAGAATAGCGTGAAACTGTTGGCAGGAATGTTTATCACATCGCTTGATTGCTCATACAGAGATAGACACAAACAAAAGACCACCATGGTACCACTGGAGACTACCTTCAAATCAGACCTCTAACATGTAATGCAAGAAAGAACTGTCAGCATGCTGCGGCAAATTTCACTCAGGTTTGTTCAAAAACAAAACATTACAGATTTTAGAACCAGGTCAAAGAGAAGAAAAACATTGTGTTAATTGGCGTCGGACGACCTTTGAGTCTGCTGTTTGAAGCCACAATGACCACAAGGCCGAGCAGGACAGTAGTGCCGTTACTCCTCCTCATTAGGTTGTTCTTGATGATGCGGTAGTGATGAGTGTCTGGCAGGGAGCTGCTGAGCTGACAGATCTGGCTGGCTGGCACTGGAACACACAGGTGCAGGTGAACACTGAGGCCTGACCAATACCTGAAACTACTCCACAACAACAGGTCTCTCTCAGGCGTCCTGGAGCAGCGGGGAGTGTTTGACACATCGACATGTTGACCCGATGATGGCGCTCAATGAAAAGTCAGAGGATCACCAAAGTTACAACAGTTCGTTCTGAGGGGAACATTAAGATCTGAACCACAAAGCCCCCAAACCTCATCATAATAATATTAATAAACTTTATTTATGAGACACTTTTCAAAGAAAAGAAATACAACCAGACAAGGGAGACACAATGAATCAGGCTGAGGAACACGAGCAAAAAGGAAGTAAAGACAATGGAGAGGAGGTTGGGGTGGATGGATGAGTCAGAGTGCGTCACTTGTTTGCACAATTCTGGTTTCTGTGAGCTGTCTGTGAACACCAGACCAAACCCGCTCACAGCTTCGACCACCTGGTAACCACTGAGGAAACTCCTTTGACTGATGAAGGCTGTGGGATCCAGCTGAAAGCTCTCGAAAGGCCAGTAAATGAGCTAAGATTATTTGTCAAACTCCTTATTTCTTGTTTGATTTTCCCATTATTTTCCATAGGCACTTTCAAGGCATGTTCCATTCTCACTCCCAAGCTGTCACATATGGGCGCATGATCAAGACCCCTTAGTGTCAGTTTGTAACACACTGGCTAAAGCCCTGTGGCCTCATAGTTCAAGACATTGGGGGAAGCCCTGTAGTGTTATTTCTAAAATCTATAAGCAGGTGTATAGTTAATATGAGAAAAATCTTAGTGAAGAGGTGGATGGGTGAGCCAGAAACCGGAGGGGACCACTCAGGAGACTAGTGTTCGTTTACCATGTCAAACAAAAAGTCAACATTGATTATTTTTAGTGAAGTTATGTAGGTTATGTAAGTAGCATCACTTAACTTACGTAAGACCAACACATTCTCACTCCCAGCTTGTCACATATGGACAGTCAAGACGCCTTGGCCTCGCTTTTTCAACGCCTTGGGTACCCTTTAGCGCTGTTTTTGGACATGTAAGTCTTCGTAATAAAACTAATTGTTAACGTTGTAAAATGTCACGATTTGGTTAGGTTTTGGCACCAAAAGAACTTGGTTAGGTTTATGAAAATAACAACTTTATGTGACTTAAATTACATAAGTTAAGTAACATTACTTGACTAACTTACGCAACTTAAATAAAAACATTTAATGCTGTTTAAATCAGAAACGAACACCAGTCTCCTGCTTGAAAGTTTGGTGTCTGACCCACCTGTCCACCTCCATACTCAGACTTTTATGTTAAATATCCTACACGTGCCTTTAACGTTCATAAACTGTGCACCGCTGAAAAAGCTTATTAGGAGTTGGCGGGTTCATTTTCTCTGGTGAGTACATTTAGTTTTAAGCCTGTTCTTTCGCTAGACAAAATTATCATCCCGGTTAAAATGACATGAATTACAGATCCACTTAGCTAAGCAAGCTAGCTAGCTCCACACAGAGCCATTGATTCCTCAGTATCTTGAAGAGGTTTCAAATCCGCAGTCCACAAACCAACGTGTGACATCACTTCTATGCTTACAAACTGACTCAGATGGGTCTTGACCAAGCATCCACGCTGTATGTGAGGAGTTGGGAGTGAGAATGTGTTGGTTGGAGTTACAGTACTCTGTGTGACCTCTGAGTCTTCTTCTTCATTGCTATTAAAGTTGCTGATTGAGCAGACAAAGTTCTTTTACTTCAAGAGTTGTTGGAAACAAAAAGACAAACAGTGTCCACATTCACTTAAGAATCCTTGGATTCATGTTCCACCAATGTGGATAGGGGAAAACTGGGTAGTGAGCTTCACAGACAAATAACAGCGTCTTTGGAAACTTCACATGAATAACAACCTCAAATATTTGATTCTCTGGGACACAGCAACATAAAGAGCAGGCCTCGGCCATTTATGGTGAGAAGAGGTGTTATTTTGTGTAAATCCCTCTTTGCCCAAACATTCCCCTGTGTGCACTGAGAGCAGGATCAAAGGCTGTCTGTGGGCTTTATGGGCTGTGTGTGTTTAATATGTACAAGTGTGTATGTAGGCCTCGGTGTGTGTGTGTGAGTGTGTGTTCAGGTGTAGAGTTACAGTATAACACTTCTGCTCATGCTGTGGTTGTAAAGTGTAAAGAGGCAGAGAGTTGTTCTAACGCCTGTGAGGTGCCGGCCACATGCCAAAACTTATTAACAAAGGAAAAGATGGGTCACACACTCTTCAGGGCAACACACACCAGCCGTGTCGGATTATGTCATTTGAAGTAGTCATGGTACAGAAGCCAGGATGTGCTCACCTGGGCTGAACATGTGATAATGTTTAGCTTTCCTGGAGCGTTGATTGTTGTGATTATTGGATGAAGACCCATGTCAGGACTAAGAGTTTGCCTCACACGCTCTCCTTTGTCACACAGTACAGTTGTCAGTCAGAAGATTTCTTCAGGATGCCAATGCAAAGCACCACTTTGGTTTGGAGTATCAACTATATATTCATGGTTTCTACAGGCCGAATCCTAAGAGCTTCCCGTCTAGCACCAGCTGGTCAAATATTTACCATAGAATACCTCACCAAGACTGTCCAAGAGTGTACAGCCAGGTATTTGGTAGTGAACCAAAGTGCTGGACACATGTTGATCAGAGGATCACCAAAATGATTACAGTTCATCCTGAGGGGGAACATGAAAGTGTGTTTCTCACTTCACAACCTCATGTTGCGATTGTTTTAATAATCGAGCATTCTACAGATGATTTCATAGATTCATCGAGTGATTAGATGAGAAACACTTTTGCTTGGCGGCTCCAGTACCTGGATCAGCTGTGTAACTCAAATCCCTGTAATGTTACGACCCAAACTCACGGACTAACCAGTCAGAGAACAATAACAACAAACGCACATTTATACATTTACAACTAACCATTTTGCAGTCCTCGCCATCAGATCAGGTTGTCTTCACTTGTCCCTGTCGTTGTGCGACAGTAAAAATCATCTGTGCGAAACAGTTTGCTTTATATAGTGCTAAATACTGCTTAAACAAAGCAACAGTGCAAACAATTTGCACCAATGCTTTTTTTCAGTAATCTAGTTCATTAAGTTTCTCGATGAATCGTCTCAGCACTAGTTGGCACTGTAGGAATTGTCAAGGGGATCACCCAAGTCATTAGAATTCATCGTCAGGGAACTATGAATGTATGTACAAATATACTTTTGCCATTCCGTCAAATAAATACTATGACATTTCAGTGTGGAACAAAGAGGAGACATTGCCATCCAAAGATTACAGATGTAGGTGCTGGAAATACCGAGAAGGTCCACACAAAAGCTGACTGTAAGCAATAACTTTACTCCCTGGACTTTAGAGGAGGGCCCTCTCATGCACTTCCTAAACAGCCTGACTGCGGTGTGAAGAGCAACAGAAAACTGAATATTTTTTTTAAAGGAAATCTGGCTAAGAGAACAGTTTTGGTCCCTACAAAATATTGGTACGTAACCACATAAAGTGAAAACTAAATGTAAGAATTTTACACCTGATTATCTGGTTCTTAATAGGAACATTACAAGCAGGAACTTTTCTAAACATGAATTTAAAAAAGAAATAGACTCTCATTATGACAGAATACATATAGCCATTACATACTAAAATAATAAAGTTTCTAACCACCTCCACTTTTGTTTTCCAGCCTCTTCATTCTCTGTTACGAGCCCCACAGCGGAGGAGGGCCCCGTGGAGCAGCTCCCCCACACGGCCCACCGGCGAGAGAAGCGCTGTTCCTGCGAGAACCAGAAAGACAAGGAGTGTATTTTCTTCTGCCACATTGGCATCGTCTGGGTCAACACCCCGAGGTGAGTTCGCCGTCAGCAAGAAAAGAAAGAGTTTGTTTTCACAGTAATGGAACACTGTGATAAATTTTTACGGTGTTAAAATGTGATAATAAAACCAAAACCAAAGATAAGAAGCAATCAATAATCTGTCCGAAACCCTCAGAGGGCTGTACAAGGTTTTCCCTGTAGCAGTAGCTGGGTGGTTTGTGAGGGAGGATGGGAGGCGTTCACTCACAGCAGAGTCCAAAACTAAGATAAACTTTCACTGCTTTGCCAAGTCAGTGATTTTAAGTGTTGAAAATAACAGGTTACAGAATTGCAAGCACAATCTGCATCTAAAAACACAATTCATAGTATCCACATTACAGATATGTTCAAATACACGATTGGAAGGTTTCACTTACAGATTATATTCAAAATGTAAACCCTCTTGTAAACAACTTTGGTTTTTAGTTGTGTTATTTTGTTGGTCTGTATTTTAAAAAGCCAAAAGCTCAATTAATGTCAGACTGTGTCCATGCTGGTGTTTACATTGCAGTCTTCTAAAGATTTTTGTGGTGAACATGTTTTTTTTTTAAGTATGAAATATGACAATTCTCATAGAAATGTTCCAGCAGTGTTTCTTATTAAACCTGCTCAGTTTTCCTGTTAGTGCCAGTACATTCATTCAGTAGATTGTTTATATTCTCTCTTTCACTCCATTACGTTCACACTGAAAGAATCTATATACATGTCTTTGTTTTTAAAGAAAATGTAATAAACTTGCTTCTCAGTAGCGAGGTGACCACTTGATGGTAGATAAAAAGACAAATAAAAAGGCTGACACACAGTCTTTGGTTTCTTTATATTTTGTCTTTGAGAAAACAATTGAAAACAGATGAAAAGACATAGTTGGCCTCCCTGTAGGCATGTCTCCTCTAAACATCATGTTGTGGACACCCAGGGCAGCATGTCAAAACACCTTAAATTACACACTTCTCAACTTCAGCTGTGCTATATATGTCAAATAGGAGGCCTCAAAACAAAAGGCTGTGAAACAAGATGTTAGAACCACTGGACACCACAATGGCTCTTACCAGGCTTGAAGACTTGGTCACTGCTTCGTTTAAACACTAACCAAAAAAATTGTTGTACACAAAGGTTGTAACCCACTTCATCGGTGAAGATTAACTCAAACCTTCACTTCCATCCATCTGTTTATTTTAGTTGCGTTTTGTAACATAAAACTCATCATGTCTGGACCTTTTGGATGTTTCCCCGGATGATACAGAAAATAATTACATTCAATATGTCAGCTGCCTCGTCCTGCAACATGTCAAGCAATAACATCAGCCAAACATTTCCGGTATTTGCAGATCAGACATGAATAATGGTCAGGAGGAAGCTTGAAACCAAGCTGTTGAGGTTAAATTGGCGGAGAGATGGCCTTACATTCTACTGCTAAATTTCTTGATAAAATTTGGAATTCATTTTTGTGTCAGTATTAGCAACCCTTCATGGCGCTGAGGCAGCGAAGGAGCCCCAAACCATGATTCCCCCTCCACCATACCTCACAGTCGTGGATGAGGTTTTGATGATGGTGTGCTGTGCCTTTTTTCCTCCACGCGTAGGGTTGCATGTTCCTTCCAAACAACTCAACTTTGGTTTCATCTGTCCACAAAATATTTTGCAAGTGGAAAATCCAGGTGCTGTTTTGAAACTTTTTTTGGACAGTAGTGGCTTCCTCCCTGGTGGTTTAGAGATACTTCTGTAACCCTTTACAGCTTCATGCAAGTCGACAATTCTTCTTCAGACAGCTCTTTTCTTCAAGGCACAGTTCATATCAAGCAAAATTAAAATTGATGTGTGTTTTTACAGGGCAGGGCAGCTCTAACCAACACCTCCAATCTCGTCTCATTGATTGAACTCCAGGTTGTCTGACTCCTGACTCACATACTTTTTACACCCTGCACTAAAAACATAAAAACAAATAAATGTTTGTGTGGTATTAGTTTAAGCAGACTGTGTTTGTCTATTTTTGTGACTTAGATGAAGATCAGATCACACTTCATGACCAATTTATGCAGAAATCCAGGTAATTCCAAAGGGTACACATACTTTTCCTGCGACTTTACAAATTGTATAATATTGTGTATACAGTGGGTACGGAAAGTATTCAGACCCCTTTAAATTTTTAACTCTTTGTTTCATTGCAGCCATTTTCCAAAAATCAAAAAAGTTAATTTTATTTCTTGGTAATGTACACTCAGCACCCCATCTTGACAGAAAAAAACAGAAATTTAGAAATTTTTGCAAATTTATTAAAAAAGAAAAACTGAAATATCACATGGTCATAAGTATTCAGACCCTTTGCTCAGTATTTAGTAGAAGCACCCTTTTGATCTAATACAGCCATGAGTCGTTTTGGGAAAGATGCAACAAGTTTTTCACATCTGGATTTGGGTATCCTCTGCCATTCCTCCTTACAGATCCCTCTCCAGTTCTGTCAGGTTGGATGGTAAACATTGGTGGACAGCCATTTTCAGGTCTCTCCAGAGATGCTCAATTGGGTTTAAGTCAGGGCTCTGGCTGGGCCATTCAAGAACAGCCACGGAGTTGTTGTGAAGCCACCCCTTCGTTATTTTAGCGGTGTGCTTAGGGTCATTGTCTTGTTGGAAGGTAAACCTTCGGCCCAGTCTGAGGTCCAGAGCACTCTGGATGAGGTTTTCGTCCAGGATATCCCTGTACTTGGCCGCATTCATCTTTCCCTCGATTGCAACCAGTCGTCCTGTCCCTGCAGCTGAAAAACACCCCCACAGCATGATGCTGCCACCACCATGCTTCACTGTTGAGACTGTATTGGACAGGTGATGAGCAGTGCCTGGTTTTCTCCTCACATACCGCTTAGAATTAAGGCCAAAGTTCTATCTTGGTCTCATCAGACCAGAGGATCTTATTTATCACCATCTTGGAGTCCTTCAGGTGTTTTTTAGCAAACTCCATGCGGGCTTTCATGTGTCTTGCACTGAGGAGAGGCTTCCGTCGGGCCACTCTGCCATAAAGCCCCGACTGGTGGATTGCTGCAGTGATGGTTGACTTACTACAACTTTCTCCCATCTCCCGACCGCATCTCTGGAGCTCAGCCACAGTGACCTTTGGGTTCTTCTTTACCTCTCTCACCAAGGCTCTTCTCCCCCGATAGCTCAGTTTGGCCGGACGGCCAGCTCTAGGAAGGGTTCTGGTCGTCCCAAACGTCTTCCATTTGAGGATTATGGAGGCCACTGTGCTCTTAGGAACCTTAAGTGCAGCAGAAATTTTTTTGTAACCTTGGCCAGATCTGTGCCTTGCCACAATTCTGTCTCTGAGCTCTTCAGGCAGTTCCTTTGACCTCATGATTCTCATTTGCTCTGACATGCATTGTGAGCTGTAAGGTCTTATATAGACAGGTGTGTGGCTTTCCTAATCAAGTCCAATCAGTATAATCAAACACAGCTGGACTCAAATGAAGGTGTAGAACCATCTCAAGGATGATCAGAAGAAATAGACAGCACCTGAGTTAAATATGAGTGTCACAGCAAAGGGTCTGAATACTTATGACCATGTGATATTTCAGTTTTTCTTTTTTAATAAATTTGCAAAAATTTCTACATTTTGTTTTTTTTCTGTCAAGATGGGGTGCTGAGTGTACATTACTGAGAAATAAAATGAACTTTTTTGATTTTTGGAAAATGGCTGCAATGAAACAAAGAGTGAAAAATTTAAAGGGGTCTGAATACTTTCCGTACCCACTGTATATACAGTTTATATTCAATACTGCTGTCTGAACACTTTCAGTACTGACTCCAAACGGCTCACTACAAATAGAAACTTGCTAGCGAGGCAACTTTAAGGCTGCAAACAACCCATGAGGCAACACTCACTGTTGGAGCTGGAGTGGTCACCATTAAAAAATAATATACGATGACTTTATATACTGGCTAAAGGTGACATCGCTGCTTTGTTACAGCAATCACAGAAGTCACATTGTTGTTCGCTGTTGGTTTTTCACATTCATCTCAGGATTATTTTGTCAGCATCTCAGCATATTTTGGCCTGAAATAGGACCCAGATGCACAGCTGCCTTCACAATTGGTAGCAATTAACTTCACTGTAGTTCAGTATGCACAAGCAATGAGTAAGCAGTTAGATGTGGTGAAGCTAATAAGAAAGAGCACCTTTCCTAAGGAAGGTTCATTTCTGCCATGTTTCCTCTTGCTGTTTCTAAATAAGCCTGTTTAACCCTTTTAACACAAACCCACCAGAGGGACCACAAAAAGTCTGAAATCATCGTGGTCGGACCCTAAATTGCCCACAACCAGTTCTGCACAGTCTGAGTCTTCATAAGCCCAGTTCACATGAAACAATTAAAACGAGAAGGATTTGTGATCATTTCTGTTCAGATCTAAGGATTTTAAGGTAAATATTAGGTGGTACATACTATTGTTGCCATGTTGTTAAAATTGACTTTATTTCAGTTGTAAATTGGATTTTGTGGTTTGTTTTTGCCGCTCCTTTCTTTAATCTCATCAGCGACTTTTACACATTTAACCAACCTGTGTGATTGTGTTTCACAAAACATGCTGTATTGCTTGCCAACATACTATACTGTTGTTTTTCATGTCATGCCAATAAGTCACATTCGAAATAAATGACTAATTAAAGAGCTGTGTCACTGAAATAGCTTCCAGAGATGAGCCAAAAACAGCTTGTGCAGCGGTGGAACCCTCTCACTAAGTCTCAGATTGTTAGTTTAGTCTAAACATAGCAGTGTGGTAAAATGCAATCTTCCTGCCTTCATCATAAAGACGTTTTTAAACAGCACTGGCAGTTCCCACCATCACTAACTATACCACTAAACCCTGTGGGCGACAGGGAGCTCCTGAGTGCTGCTTACGCCTGCAGCACTTCCTGTTGAAACTCCATTTTGTTTTAAATATGTAAACTAGGTAGCATGTGCTTGATGAGAAGCCTGGAGATTTTCTTGCTTCATGTGAGCCAACAGCGAATGGATCTACTAACGCCTGATATATCTTTTTCCTCTGAGCCATAGAGCCCAATTGTTGTGTAGACACTACTAAAACACATCAGTGAGCCTCACTGCAGCATTGGGTGACATGTTCCTTTCATCAGCATGAACACACACACACACTGTAGTTTATTCTGACTCAGTAAGTACAGTAACACTAAATACCTTTTAAGGGAGGTCCTGTGTACCAGAAAAACTCCAAAAGTATTTTCAGATTAAATATTTTTATAATCTGATTTTCACACAGATATTTAGCTTTCCGTCCTCATGAGTGAAAAAATAAACACTGAAATCAATCGGGATTCTCCAACCAGGGGTCTTTGATGCAGACACCTTGATGGTCAGGGTGGTTGGGAGTCTGACTTCAAGGACATAGACCTAACATAAGCATACATTTTCTGGCACATACGCATTGGTATTGAATATTAGAATACTTTGTCATGCATATAGTTCAGAGTTTTCCAGAATCGTCCAAAATCAACGTTCCTGTCTGGCGACAGGAATGCACATAACTCTTTAAATAGAGACAAGAACCAAAGAGTCCAAGGGATCCCGGTGCAGTGGAGCCATAATTCATTGAGCTACAGTTCAGCAGTTCAGGATGTACTCATCCCTGTACTGAAACACAGTAACTAAATGGGGGAGTGGGGGGCTCACTATGTGTCAAAGGGTCAAACAAATACAAGTGGAAGTGAAGCCAACACAGTGAAATAAAAGTTAACAAAGTATAGAAAATAAAATAAATGATATTGCAGAGAGGAGCTGGGAGAGCGCTGATGGAGGATGGTGGAGGGATGAGGAAGGCTGGCAGATGAAAGGGTCATACTTTATCACCGGCCACAAAGTGGAAATGGGATCCAGATGTGTGACCGTTTGATTAAAAATAAGACACAAAGCCTTTCAACAATGTGATATCTGTGAAATGATTTATCAAAACTGGACTCGCATCTAAATTCAGTCCAACTGCTGCTCCAAGAAACCTGCCTTCAAAAATGTGACAAGCATTTTAGAAACAATAAAGATGAAACCGTAGTTTTATTTTAAGCTATATCCTTGTTTTGACATAAATGTAGCACTGTTAAACCACTGGCATCTGCTGGCAGTTCTCCTTGCGGTCTAGTTCAGCCCACCACTAATCCAGCGATGGATCCCCCTCCAACCTGCAGCCGGCTGCGAACCGTCGCAGCGGTCACACTGGCACCAGATGGATGTGCAGCCAGATGATTCACACAGCAGTAAAACAAAACTGAGTCTAACGATATATTTCCCAAAATGTCAAACTATTCCTTCAACGAACGTCGACTCAAGCACCAAGTGAGGCAGCGCACATGCCAGAGCCACGGTGCTTTTAAAGGGTGGCAGCAGAAACCACGTTTGGTCCCTCAGACTCCTTGTAGATCTACCATTTTGCAAAATGAGTCTATAGAGTAAGATTCATTGAAGAGGCAAACATATGCATATCTGCACCTTCAAAGACCAGAAAAGCTGTTTTTATTATTATGAATTACAGCAAATTCAAGGAACTTCACGTTTGTGGACAGAGTTGCTGTTTCCGTCGCCTCCTGTGTGAAGATCTTGATCTGGCTAAGCCATGCATTTGTTTTAAAGAAAGACAACTTGTTTATAATACAATTTTTTTAAACAGCTGTTTGCAGAATGCATAGGGATCAGGTAATGCATCTATTTCAGTCCCTCCAGGATTTCGCGGGCTTTTTTAGTGATCATTGCAGTCTAAAATACCTGTTTTTGCAATTTGGAATAAATGGTTAAAATAAGTACATAGTACAAAGTAGCATAATCACATATATGGACAATATTTCAGACAGATGGGTCACACACTGATCAGGGCACATTCAAGCTTTCAAATACTATAGCCAAGAGTACAAGAAGACACGCAGTAATTCTTTAGTCATTTTACCCAAGATTGTCATGAACACACTGACCAGAAAGGACACCTCACTCACAGGACAACGTGTCAGCTACCACGATGTCGACCCCCTTCTTGTATCGAATCCCCACATGGTATCCCGAGAAAACAGTGGAGTTCATGACTGGTTGTTGGGACTGTGTAGGTTGAAATGGCAGAAACTTTGGCATCAACAGGACCAACCTGGCCGTGGCCGACCTGTTGTCCTAAGTACGAGACGGTGATCTTCCTGAAATCGCACTTAGCCAGGTTGAATGTTAATGGCGCCAACCTCTTCTTGGACTGAACAGCTTTCCTAGAATGATAGCGCTTAAGCATAGTAACATTACACAGGCACTTCTTCCTGCAATCAGGCGTGTGAACAAGGTGGTCGGTTTGTGACACACAGATCAGGGGCAATGGTACCTTAAGAGCAGAAACAGAGCGATCAGCTTTCTTAAGTCCCTCGCACTTTTCTTGTTCATGGCAAACACAGCAGGTAACAGGGAATCAGCGAGATCCACATCGTGACCCTGTTTCTGAACCTGTGACCTCGTCAAAACACCGACAGGATCAACCTCGGGGTGCCTCTGAGCCAGTTCTGGCTCAACTTCTAGGGTCAGACTAACCACCACTTCTGGGTCAGGATAAACCTTTATCGTTCCCCACAATGAAATCCACGCTACTTACAGGAAAATGTGAACGAACAGCTACAGAGAAGAAACCAGTTGCAAGGTGGGATTTCACATTAATGAAACTGATATCTCTTGATTCTGAAATGCAGGTCCAATATATTAAGCATTTAAATATACTCAAAATAGACCCAAACATGTAACCAAAATTTCAAACCATCAAAATTGGTCCACCAGGAGTTGAAATATGGCCATTTCAGTTTAAATGGCCTTTTTGTGTTTTTTCAATAATGGATTCACCATCCTCAGTAACCCCTAAAACCACTCCCAAGATTGTCCAAATTGGCCAAGCACATTCTGAAATAGTGTCCATACATGTGATTATGCTACTTTCTGCTAATTATGCTAATTGCTAGCATGTGCAAGTTAGCATCCGGCAGTTTCACAATGCTGGGGATCCATACTTAACATATCTAGCATAAAACTTTGAGGCACTCAACATTTCCGGATGGCAAGTAGACTGACTCTTTATACTACATCACCTGATTTCTTATGCCAGTAGAGGACGCGGCCTGACAAAAATGTAAATATGGGTCATAGGCGAGAACGAGCTGCATATGCTTCGTATAGAGGCAGCAGTGTTAAAATGTTTCAAGACCAGTTAAAATCTGTTGAGGGGAAATGACTTCACCTTGAACATCACACACCGAGGTCCACGAGGGCAGTGAGGTCAGTGTGGTCAATGATGTGTGAGTATTCAAGAGTGACTCTTTTGTTTTCTGTTTTTCAGCCATGTGGTTCCTTATGGATTTGGTCCGGTCCGCCTCAGAAGGGAACTCGGCCGCTGCTTCTGCACAGACGCACAGGACGCCGAGTGTTTGAGCTTCTGCTCCGTCCCGACACCGGCAGAGTGAGGACCCGCGCACACCAACATGCCTTAGGAGGAGCACAAACTAATAACGTACACTCACACTGTTTCTCATCCCATTTCTTTTCCTCAGAGGGGAAAACGCTGCAGCGAAGAGGACGACTGAGACACGGCTGAAGAGATACAGAGCTGCATTCTGGGAAAAAAGGAGCCGACACGCACTCAAACACCAGACCTGAGAGAGAGGAGGCACGATGGAGGTCCTTCACGCATCAGAAATAACCAAATGGACCCTTTAGTTTGTCTTTCTACCTGATGCCGGTTTGGACGTGTACAGTGTGGGTGTGTTATGTAAAGTTAACGATGGGGAAGTATTAGGATAGGCGTGCTGACCACTGACATGCTCATCTTTATAACATTTGGCTGATGACACACAGTCGAACCTGTGAACTTTCTGTTACCAATGATCTCAGCTGATTTGTAGCACTGAGGGACGGAAAACATTTCAGCTGCGACCAGAAGTTACACAGCCAGAAAGGTTTTGGTGTTATATATTATAAATTCTTCCTGTAAAGTGTCGGCGCAGTCGAACACAGCTCTGTTGTTTTGGGCCAAAAACCTCACAACTCCACAGTGATGACTCTTTTTCCAGGTTGTAACAGCCTCGAGTTAGTTTAAATGTTTTTATGTGGACTGGTGAACTATGGATCATATGGAGTGTTTGCATGGACACTTTCAAATCTCTGCGTTCACATACAGTCGTCTCAGAAAGGGCTGTCAAAAGACCACAATTGAATATTAGAGCCACAAAAAAAGACTGAGATTTGAAAAATAAAGTGATTTTGAGTCATAATTTTCCAGAAAAAGCCATAATCTGATATTATGAGAATAAAGTCAAGAGAAAACATTGATATATTCCGAGAGCAGGGACGCATGTAATGGTTAGGGTAGACTGGATAACGTGCATTTCCTAAACTAACTAACTTCTTTGTAAAGTTATGACTTTATCTTGAACAGTGTACTCCAAAATTACTTATTACTGGCTGATAAAAGTAACCGGTTACTTTACTGTAGTTTCACAGAATGACAGCGTAACTGTGGCGCGGGCGGGGGGGCTATGCACATGCTAACCTCGACAACCAACTATATTCTTACTTTGGACCGGTTTGTGCATATATGAGGGGTACAATATGAGTACAATATGAGTACAATATGTGGCGGTTCTCGTTGATAATTATCCCATACACTGATTTATTTGTAGGCCGCCACAAATAAATCAACCCCTTCACCCCTAAACAAAGCAGTCTCTCACCACAGCAGCAAGAAGTGTTTCTTTACGCCAACAGCTGAAATAAAATAAAATAATAATATAACGTTACGTTAACGCCACTCTCTCCTGACGAGTCCAAGCATCTCTGGCAGGAATTTCTTTCTGTACGTTTCACGTCGCTGTGCTGCTTCAGCAGATGCTAACGAGGTAACGCAGTGTTAGATTTAGACTTAGATTAGTAAGTGTAAAACCGTAAAAGTGTTTTAGAGTAATTAGTTACACTACTAGTTATTGGGAAAAGTAATATTACAGTACTGAGTAACACATTACTGCCTATTAATAATATTACAACTTTAGTCAAAATATTATTTTGTAAAATTACAGCTTCATCTTAAAATTACAATTTGTCTTGTAAAATTGTGACTTTATAAGTATAGTGTCAAACAACTTTATTCCTGAGATATTACCAACTTATTTTCAAATAATTGCAACTTTATCTTGTAATAGTATGATTTCTCAAAAACAGAAACATTTGTTCTTTATTTTTAAAGTATTTTTGTCTGCAGCGGCCTGTTTATTCTGCGTTGTCTTCTAGATTTGAACTTTTACGCTGTTGTGACAGGTGTAATGTAATCTGAGAGGTTTCTGTCACTGAAAGGTTCAACTCTGAAATCAGCTCCCGTTTGCAGCGGTGCAAAGACAAGCTAAACGTTCACTGTAAGCTAAAATAAGTCAAACCAACTTTACTATGGTGATTAGGATTTGTTGAATATTACGTCACATTTGAACCGGAGTTGTGAGGTTTTCACACAACAAGAGTGCCTGTCGGTCAGTCGTCCTGTTCTCGCAGCTTTAGAAATCTTTGTCTGAATGTGATTAATAATGTACCCTGGCTCAGTTTAACAGTTTGTTTAAGCAACACATGGAGAATCTTTTTATTTTCACATGAAAGCCTGTGTGACTGAATTATCATGGTCAGTCTACAGCAGAGATGTTCTTTTATATTGGCCTTATTGGTAACTTTACTTATTCCTCCAACATGTCCAAGTATCCCTGAAAATGACCAAAGAGATGTCAGACTGTAAAACAAATATTTATTTACTACACTGAAGTATACTCACAATGTGTAATCCTCCTCTGAGCATAAGGAATATATCCAAAATAATGTTGAAATACATCGTAAAGTACTGCATGAAGTACACAGCAGTTTAACTCGGTGTGTCATTAGAGCGGGAGTGCTGGGAAGTGCTGATCACCTGAGGAGCTGTGAGCTCCATTACACCCGTCATAAAACCACAAAACACTCGTCTCCCTCGCACTTTTCTGCAGTACACATCTCTAGTCCTCCAGGGACTGATGATGAACTGAGGTTTCTGTACTTCACAGTAAACATTTGATAAAAAAAGGATTCAGTTGTTCATGTTAAAGAGTTACAACTCCTACAAAGCTTAGCCACAGAAGTGGGTGTGGGATGGGAGTCGTAGTTGTTGCTGGGAGATTCATGTGTTATGCATCACTAAAGACGCATCTTCACTTGTGCAAATTCACCTACGAGTCATGGACTCTAACTGAGGGAATAGTGCCCCTTGTGTCTAAAACTATGTGCATACGGTACAAAATATATTGATTTGGAACAGATTGCTAAACTGTGCGCATGTTTTTTTAGGCGGCCTTTTGAATTGCATTTGGCCTTCAAAATAAAAGTGCGAAATAATAATGAAACCGTTACAATGGACCATTTAACTGTCACACCAGCTAAGTGAGTAACAGACTCATAACTGGAGTAAAAAAATATATCTAACAGCACGTTAGCCATTGTACAATTCTTTTCTAAACCCATCTCCTGGCCTGAATTTTATAAAAACTATTAAGCGTGTCCCGATCAAGGTATTTGGTATCTGCCGGTAATGACCAGGCCGAGCCAAACAGTTCTCACAAAACACTGACCTGAACATACAACAAGATTAACTCTGAGATCACAAGTAAACTTGTTTTTTAGCATCAGTTACTAACTGGATAGGAATAAAGTTAAAGTGGGAGAATGTGACTCCTGAAACTGACGCGACCCAACACGTTGTCACTCCCAAGCCAATGCATATGGACGCATGGTCAAGAGCCTTTGGCGTCAGTTTGAGACGCACTTGGAAGCCTTTCAGCATAATTTTTGAACGCTAAAAGTATTAGTCAATAAATCAAAGTAAGGAGGTGGACTGGTGGGCCATAAACTGGACTTTCACCCAGGAGATCAGTGTTTGTAACCTGTGTGAAACAAAAAGCCTATCTTTGGTGCATAAACTTAACCAAATTGCGACATTTCAAAACATTAACCACTAGTTTTATTTTGAAAGTCTAAGAGGATGTTGCCTTTTTGTTATTGCTGACTTGACCATGGTGCCCTACACGTGCAAAAACTATGCCAAAGGATACCCAGGGCGTTAAAAAGTTTGACCAAGAGTCCATATGCGACCAGTTGGGAGTGAGAATGTGTTGCACGATCAGCTGACGGTTTACTTGAGTCTTGACTGAACATTCCCCAAATATTTTCTTCCTCTGACAGTTTAACAATCTGTTTGCAGATTTCCACATCAGTAAGATCCCTGACGGCTCCATAGAGACATACTGATGTTAAATTTATTAATGCCTCTCAGCTCATGTGTACCTGTCAGCTGTAGTTTCTAGCCCCAAAGGCAGGTCAGAAGTTTAGGTATTCAGGCCTTTTCTCCTCTTAAAGGTGCACCTAAACGCCACCTGGACCAAACAGAAATTTGATTAAAGTATAGAATATAAATCCAGAGGGAGAAATATAAACCTACAATAGATTCTCTTCTTCTCCCAGGATAAAGTGAAATGAATTAATGAGTCTCTTCAGTAAGTGTCCTCAGTGCTTCATCATTATGGATCTCTTTACAGAAACATGGTGCTTCCTCGATCACCATCATAACAACACAGGTCTTCTGTTTATGTACATGTTTTTATTTCACACTTGCTTTGGCAATGTAAGCGTCTGTTCCCGCCAATAAAACCCCACTGATTAAATTTGAATTGAGGTCAAAGGTCAGATTCTGTATCACCTCAGCAGGATAAAGACGGGGATGTCGCCTGAAGGCTTTGAACCGCGATTCATCCGACTGGGTCCTGAGCTCGGATATGTTTCCTTCACGCTCTTTTGTGTTACACTGCACAACTTATGGAAAACGACGAACTTTAACAAAGGCTGTTCTCCAAACCTTCTCAAGCTGAATCAGATAAATGAAGGAGTTTTGTTGTTGTTTGTTGAAAGCAACGCCCGAGATCACATAATTAAAAAACACATCACAGTGTTTTTTGTCCTGCCAAAGAGCAGCAGGTAAATCTCAATCTTGACTGACATGAAAAAACAACATTTAAGATATATTGTTATTTCATCATATTATTAATATATATATGTGTGAAATCCTGTTGTTCATTGCAAGTTGTGGAACAGAACTCTGCCTGATTTTGTTCACATCTTCGTCCGCATGGTCCATCTGTAAGAAAAGCTTTTGTAGGATGTTCTGAACGCAACCCCTTTTTAACATCATATATGTGTTGATTTTATTGCATGATATTTATTTTGTTATGGATTTTATTACTTAAACACATTAAAAACAACCCTTGAATTCTGTCTAACTGTGGTGCTTTTCAAACTTATATACAGTAATCTGACTTCATGTGTGTCTCTTCTGACGCATTGTTGTCCCTTTCCTTGGCGATTGAACAAACACCTGCAGGCGATGGTTGTTCGGTGTTGTTGCAGTAATCGTCACGTTACCTCTGCAGGGAGGTCTGAGTTCAGGGTGCAACTTCAGCACATGGATGATCAAATTGTATTAGCCCTTTTTTTTTTTTTTTTTAACTGTCTGACTTCACTCTTTAAATATTTACCTGGAGACATAACTGCTTTTCCTAAACAACAACAAGCAAACAATACCCAAGTGAGCCAAACTCAATGTTTGTTGTCCACATGTTGCAAAGCTGAGCGTTCAAGAGTATCCCGATGTCATAAAACACCAGAGAAAAAACATCTGTTTGTGTTGAAATTTGAAATGCAAACTTCAAATGTAACCACATATTGTTCTGCCAGCTCTAAATATCCTCCAGGTTCATAAAATGGGACGAATTAGTCATCACACAAGAAGCTGTCTGGATTTGGGTCAAGAAGAAAGCAGAGCCTCCTACATCATGAAGCCACCTGTTTGAAGAAGTGATAATCAAACAAGTTTCGTCAAGTCAGATCTTTAATCAATAAGTCAGTGTTAATAGATGCACTTGACATTTCCTGACTCACATGCAGCCTCAGCGGGCCTCCTTTCTCTTTTCATACATTAGTGGTTACGCCTACAATTATAACTACATTTCATAATAAAAGAAACTTAATTGGAAGCATGTTTAGTTTGCAGAATTAAGGTGAATTAGTTTCCAACAAGTCGCCGGAGAGAAAAGAACAGAGAAGAAGTCAGACTTAAAGGTACAATTCATTTATAAATACACAAAGGCAGTATCAAGCTTCCACCACTCAAACTTATTATTTAATGAAACGAGAAAATTCCCCGTTTACAGCAACAATAATCAGGTGCTGGTAGGATATGAAAAATCAAAAACAAGTTACGGTAGCTTGTTTTGGATTTATTATTTAATGACTGTTAGTTTCCACTTCACGAGCTCCGCTTCATTTATCTGTTAGCTAGATGGCGACATTACATATAGCATTGCTAATTCATTCTGAAACAGTGGTAGGTCTCTCTTGGTGGCCTGATTTAACTTTTTGTTTTAATGACCAGCGTCAGAGCAGGTACAGTGTTCACCACACGCACCTTTAAACTAACAGTATTTTTTGTGCTTATAATGCCAATGTCATCACATTTCAAAACTGAACCTTTATTTAAACAGGACAGGACCTCTTCTTTCAAGGGAGACCTGGCAGCAGGACAGAATTGAAGGTTACAAAGATAAATGTGACAATATAAAACATTAAATATACTTACAGAGAAATAACAATCCAATATATTAAAACATTTTCAAAGACGCCCATATAGAATTAAGAAATCAGCATCCATACTCGTCCTCTTCTGCAACCCCTCTAACTTTTGTCTTTCGTATGGAGTGCCATGTTGAGGGTGCACAATGTGAGAAGGCAGTACTTCCTGGGAACCTTTAAAAGTAGTAACCTGCTAGATGTGTTTGGTTACTACTGTCCATGAAGTTCCGCAGGCTGCAAAGGTAACTGAGTAGTTTGCCCAGGACTGCCTTGTAGATAAAAACACTCAAATGGAACTGTCTGCATGTGGCTAGTGAAGTTGCACGATTCACATAACCTACAATGATGTGGACGATCTTGCATTCCAGAAAATGTGCAACGCTGCAGAATCTAGTTTACTTAGCAGAGATGCTGCTGCATGCATGTACATCAGATCCACACAGTCAATCACAGATAAAAACGTGGCTCAAACAAGTTTCTTCCTCGCCTCAAAGGGAATCTGTTACTAAAATAAAAACCTAGTTTTAGCTCAAAACTGCAGATAAAAGCCAGCTTTTGATTTGAGGCTTCTTGTTTGGGTCTTCTCATGTTTGTTCCCACATTATTAAATTGCTACTTGTTGCACTGGTATCTAATCTAACATTAATATTTTTGTAATAATTCAGTAACATTATCTCTTTAACAAATATTATTAAAGTGCTCTTAAGCAACACTGACTGAGGATTTCCCCGCACATCTGGAGACATCCATCATTCCTTTAATGGGAGCATGTGCTTCACATTGAATAAGCAAGACGAATGATCATAATCGAGTTTTAGTATTATGATTTATGAAAATAAAGTGCATGTTTGGCTCGAGTCTGAGCGGCTCACCAGACTGTTTAATGACTTAGTGAGTTTGCTCTGAGGGAAAATGAATAAAGATGATTTCCAAGCACAAGCTTCAGAGGTCAGTGAATCCTTAAATGTACACCATTTAATGAAGCCAGGATAACTGTAATTGATTGTGGAGGTATGCAGCTTTCTGCTGGTTTTCAGACTGATCTAATCTCTTCACCTGGTGGAAACCTGTGTCACAACTCGCAGCTGCTACAAGAAGAGTTGGAAACCTTTTTTTTCCCGCAGGAAGTACACTGACAGCTCTATTTATTTAGTATAAGTGTGTCATCGTACAGCTGTGTTTTTCTTTACTCTGAGGAGTAAAAAGGTAATTGTGTCTTATCTCGCATTCCCATTTAATCATAAGGCTGGTCATCATAATATCTGGAGCACTTTAAAAATATATTTTGAATATTAAATATATACAGATAAAAAGTCATGTTATTATTTAATTTTCTTTGCACTGGTGATGCTGATTTTTTAAATTCACCAGCTCCGTCTCTCTGTTATCTGTGAAGGTCACCAACCTTTTCTCATTTCCAAATCTAAGCTCTTCACTTTCAGCAGTTTGATCAGTGCAGCCAAGCTTTGCCACATTTTCTTGGCCCTTTCTGTCTTTCCCCATTTCTCCACAAGATGTCCTCACATAGCTTCCTGCCTCAGTCACCTGACGCTGCTCCTCTGCACACCTCTCACCTCGTTAGCCCCACAGTGTGCCTGCCCAGTTACACTCCTGCCTCCCTGACTGACCACTCGGCCGTCCTCTGCCCAGCCCTGTTGGAATAGTTCACCTGTTTTGGACTGACTTGAAGCTGATACCCAAATGTCTGCCTTAAGCTGATTGCGCCGTCTGCTGGATTCAGTTTCCTCAGGGAGACCAGACCAGTGTGATGCAACATGTAGCACTTCTCTTCCATCTTCTGTGCTGAACTGAGATTCAGCTCACTAGAGGGTTAATCAGCACCATCTAGTGGAGAGAAAGTAGAACTTCACCATGTGATCTGGGATTTTTCAGACACTACCTCCCACCTCACACAGATTCACTCTCAGCAGGTAAAGGTGCTTTATTTGTCACATACACATACATGTAGCGAGATTCATCCTCTGCATTTAACCCATATCCTTGAAGGGAGCAGTGGCCACTGTACACTCCAGATAGACATGCAGTGTCTGGTCAAACGGCACTGACTGGAGAACCTACCTAACATGTTTTTGATGGTGGGGGAAACCGGAGGAAACCCATGCAGACACGGGGAGAACATGCAGCGTCCACACAAAGGCCGGGACGACCGGGGGTCGAACCCAGAGCAACAGTGCTATCCACTAGGCCACCGTGCTGCCCAGCAGCTGAGAATCCTACAGTTTGATGATCAAGATCACTTTGATCACGTTGACTGTAATGCAGAAATGTTACTTGATGGTGATTGGCAGATATGTTAAAGGGTCTGTTAGGCCCTCACATGAAATGAATTCTTAATATTCTTCAACAGGCCAGCATCAGAGCCTTGGGTGCCTCCCTGTGGACAAATAAAATAGTTTGTTTTCAGTGAGCTAATTTCTGCATCACCCTGTGGTTTTCAGTACCACTGCTGTAGGTCTGGTGGTTATTTCCTGCCTGTGGTTGCTCTGTGTACAGTCCTCATATTTATACTGCAGTAACTTCGCTTTCATAATTGTTTTAGATATTACAATAGCTACGTTATTATGATTAATATTTTCTGTGTAGTGTAGTAAAGTAGCTTCATGTAGCTGGAATAGTGGTAAATAACATCACTTGGTAGAATAGTGAATGCTTGCTATTCCTGTGTTTATGTTGCAGAGACCACGCCTCAGTCCACACATAGTGATCTGAACAAAGTCTACTATAGAGTAGCTGTAGACTTCTTCTTCTTACCAGACAATGTGTGGTGATTGCAAATTCTTTCAAACAACTACATTTTTTAATGAAAGGAGTTCTTGAGCTTGGGCTCACGCAGCAACACCTTCTCCGTTGCAAAGACTTAATTAAATTAAAGGACTAATTATTTAAGAATACACGTATTACTGCTGGTTCCCAGGTAGTATAACAGTTAGTATTCTGAGATCACGTGATTAGTGAGAAACATACTGTACATGGAGAAGTACTGTTTGCTGTCAGGGTGGGTCAACTTGGCTGAGGTGTGTTATTTACTATTAGATTTTATACTACTATTATTTCTAGAAGTAATAGTAGTATAAAATCAAAGTACTTGTATTCAGGCCATACATTCAATTATAATTTTGTCTCATGCGTTTGTCTCTAAAAGCAGTGGTTCTCAAACTTTTGTCACATCAAACCCTAAACTGACACAGATTAAACCACAGACCTCCTTTTGATAAGAATTTGTTCCAGGGTCCCCCATCACTTTGCTTTAGATGTTTTAACACAGAAAGTGAATGAAATCCATGACCCAAGTAGTCATACATTCTGTCATAGTGTTAGATGGAATTATAACTAAACTAAATGATTCCTCTTTTTCGCTCAAGGACCCCTAAGGGTCCCAGAAACCCCACCTTGAAACCACCGTCATAAAGAAATGACATCGTTTGGCACCTCTCAGCTCCCTAAAGGTACTTTTCAGATCAGATTTATTTCATTCAAGTTCAAAATCATGCACATGTCCAGCCTCCTCACCTGCTGTATGTGACTGTATGACTCGAAAACATTGGCCACCTAAAGTAGAACTCTTCAGACGCTAAATTAAATCCTCAGTTCGTGACGAATGGAAAAATAAATCAT